TACATTCGAACAAAACATCCCGGACGTTGGGGGAAATTAAAGATACCAACGAGTGAGGCGTTATAAGGGTAGTTGTTGGGACGCGGCCATCGTCCCTTGGCATGATCATGACCACTTGATATTAGTATGGGTAGCTCCCTACTTTTCTGGAAACATATCCAATCAAATGGACATATGTATGTATATTTTGATATATATATAAGAGCATTTATTTTGTTTTTTCAGCCATTGGGCTTTTGAACATGAATAGTTATGCTTGAAACTTGAAATGTTTATGTTTGAACCGTGGCAAACTTGTAAATTGTGTAAATATGTTCTCACAAGCTTTATAGCTCATGGGTGTGTTACTAACCCATTTCAGGTAAGGAGAATGGTTAGTGGACAACCAAAGGCCTATTTTTGTGGTGTCTCGTGGCCTGGGATGGATTCTAGACCTATAGTTTTATATAAGTCATGAATTACCTCTTTTGTTGGCATAGGGCCAAGTTATTGTTGTAACTTAACTTTCCTTTATGACTTATATGACTTATATAACAACACTCTAGTTAAATGTAATCACCTAGTATTTGCGATGATTTATTTATTTTGTTCTCTAAACTAGTTAGTAGTAGGCCTAGGGTGTGAGATGGGGCGCTGGCCGATCACAATTCCGATTAGCCCCTATTTCGGGTCGTGACAGTTACATTTGAGCTTTGCTTTGCATACTTGTAGTGTAATTGTCCTCATGAGTTAGGTGTTCTAGGCCTTATACACCATCTTGTTTGAGTTGATAGCATTTATTTATACTTTTCTCACTCATTTTTTAGCATTAATCACTTCTGCAACCTCCCTCATTTCTTGGTTTTTGTTTTTCTTTGAAAGTGGTTCAAACAACTTGTTTGTTTAAAGGATGGGATTGAGATGTCATGCTTAATGGTTTAATCCTTTAGGTGGTTCATTACCAATGGTATGATGTCTCTTTCATGCCCAAAACAACACTTGGTTTGAGCCTTCTTTCCATTTAGAGGACTTAAACTCACCATTGGACTTAATGGATTAAATGATGGATAGTAATTTAAAATGGAGTAATTAAAATTTGGAATTAAAAGTGAGCAAGATAAGAATTTGGTTGTGTTCAATCGGATGTTAATTGAACACATGAAAGCTTGAGGTATTTCATACTCATTAGTGATAAAATGGTCCAAGTGTCCAAGGTCACCACTTCAATATTTTACATTCATGAAAGCTTGAGGTATTTCATACTCATTAGCTCATGAGATTTATAAAAAATATTTTACATGAGGTTATACATTCAACATTCATAGAATATGAATCTATAACATGTGGCACGATAAGTTAAGTACAAATTAATGCCCTCAAGGGCTAGAAATTCCAAGGCTTAATCCCAGCTACACGAAAATGATTTTTCGAACTCATACATGTAAAGCCCTTGGCTTGTTAAAAATAATTACAACAAAAATAAAAAAATCCTTATGCTCTCAAAATATATTTCACGCCTCTAACTCGGAAGCATCACCACATCCTTTCCTGCACAAAATCCCATAGGGTGAGCACAAAGCTCAGTAAGAAAATCATAATAAAGTCTATACATTTTATACAATCTCTTGAGATGAATACATATGTCATGCCATATTCAAAACATATATTTCTATCTTTTGAAACTTTTATGCACAATGCAATTTTGAAAGTTCAACAACTCAATAATTTTAATGTAGTTTAAAGGGGTGGTAAATACGATTCAGGTAATCCTTAGGTTGGTATCCGCAAGTAGGCATAACAGGCACTACCAATCCCCACTTTACCGGTTGCTACCTGCAAGGCACGTGGTACCTCATCCGCGTGTGTTTTCGGTCTTTTATCATGGACACTCAAGCCAACTTAACTAATACCAACTACACCCCCTATCCGGATTTACCAACGTATTTACCCCTAACAAATTGTGTAGGTTTAGTTGAAAATTTAATATTTGATTTATCCTTTTCAATACTTTTTACTTTACATACTAAAACTAAAATAAAAATAATAAGGAACGGTTCTGTTAGTTCACTATGATTTTTGAGTCTAGTTAACTTTCACAGCCCATCTCTCTCAACGGGAATTGACGATGTCGAATAGCTCCCGCTCCGGGCCACCATCATCACAGGTAACAAAACTTCCATTTCGTTCTCTATTTTTCTGAAATCTAGTTCTTCTCTGATATGATGAGTGGAATAGTTTTGAATTTAGTTTTGAAATGGTTTGACTGTTAAATGTCTTCTATGATTGAAATGGGTTTCAAAAATGGTTTTGATAATTTGACTTCTTGTTATGAGAATGGCTGCTTTATTTTGTGGTTTTCTGTTTTTTTTTTTTCACCGAACAAGGGTTTGTGGCTTTTGCTTCAGTTTCACTCAGTTTATGACTTATCTGAGAAGCTATTGCTCGTTTTCCTTAGGGGAAATAACAATTTAGTGTTAATTTGAAGAATTTTTTTTTTTTTTTTTTTTGGAAATCAGTGGTAAAATTTATGGAATTATTGGGATTCATAATTTCTTCAACATGCAATGGTACCATTCTTTTTCATAATTGCTGAGATTTTTTTCCCCCAACTTTTGCTCTCAATGTTAATACAAATTCTTTCTTGTCTATTTTCTGGGACATGTTTAAGTAAGCTCTGCTTCGAGGTTTTTCATCTTCAATTGAAGCCCTCGATCCTCTATTGAAGCTTATTTGAGGTCAGATATGTCCTTGTTAGTGATAGTACTAGAGTTCCTCTCATCAACTCAACCTCTATACTTTTGAAATAGGTATCAAATGAATTTTTTCTTTCTTTACAACAATTTTCTTGTTATTTATTTATTTTTTTTTTCTTAATCTGGTTTGTCCATCTTCTTGGTGATTCATGTAGCCGACCCCATTTGATGGGACTTGGTTTGATATGGTTTTGTTTGCATGCTTAATTTTCTCTCTTGCTTTTTTTTTCCCCCAAAGGTTTGCCAATATATATAATATTATTACATTTTGGGTTTTTTTTTGTTGCCTATGTATCGTTCTATTCTATTCTGTACTTTATTTTGTTTTTGTCTTTTTTACTTGATTTAGTTTTTGTTATAGTTTTCTTAGAAAGTTCTAAGTGATCCATGGAGAAATGTCCCAGGAAGTTGGAATTTGTAACTCTTAGAATTTATAAGTTCATATGTGCAATCCATTATGTTTGAAGGTGCTTACTATTTTTGTTTTGTTTCAATGTGAGGCAATTGTTTGTTTATGACATTAAAAATGGCAACAATTCTGTCTGATAAAACCAAAATCATCATTCCAGTCCTTCAGTCTTCGCGAACAAAGTGTCTGACAACCACAGTAATCCCGCAAAACATCAATCAGTACCATCTTTTTATTTTTCTCAGCGTTAATCTTAATATTCTTTGATAGTTGACTCCAAAATTAGGATTTTTGTATTTGGATAAATTTGGACTGATTTTGTGTTGTTTTTGGTTGTTTTATTCTTGGTATTAGCTTTGTTGTTGTTGTTTTTTTTTTTTGGTGGGTATTTTCAAAATTTTTAGTTTGTTTGTCTATTTTAGATTCATAAAAGTTAAGAGCTTTGCACTACAAGAAAATTGGCCTATAACCACGCTTTTGCTATGGCGTTTTTTTAAAAAACGTCGTTTTAAAGGTTTTCAAAATATTTTTGTAAACAACTCATTTTAAAAAACATGCGTGCTTGGTGTACGAACATTTTTTCCTTTTAAGACCCACGCGTTTTTCATTCTTCTATTTCTCTCAGTCCCAAGATAACTCTAGGTTTTCTGTCTCTTCATCACTCCTCTTTTTTATGGTGAAAGGTCACTAGATCAAGCATCGTGGGCTCCGATTCACGATCTGGTTCTCTCCATCTTGGCTCAAAGCTTTCGATCAGTCCGATTTGAAGATTAATTTGGTGAGTCCTTCTCTGATTTTTTGATTTTGTTTATATACAAACTCAGATCTGTATCAACGATCTCAAATCTGTTTGATATATATATACTAATTTATGTCTATTGATCGCGATCGATTTTTAGTCTAGTGATCGATTTTTAGGCTAATCTCGATTGATTGATTTTTAAATTATTGATCGCGATCGAACACTCTTCTCTGGATTTGATCGATTGATTGCTTTTGTTCAGATCTGTAAGTTTTAGTCCCTATGCGTATATTAACATCATCAAACCGACTCTATTTCTGACTCGTTCATGGTGATCTTTGCGTTTGTGCTTTGTATGCAATTCTAGGGTTAGCCTGTTAAGGCTAATCTCTATTGCGTTTGTGTACAGAGTCACAGAACCACCATCACAACCATACTGTGTCAATCTTTGCAGCAACAATGTCTCTCTTCCTCACAATGGGTTTTGTGCACTGCAGACACCTGATTTCCACTCTGGTGAATCCTCTTTGATTCCCTCCTTCCTTACCTTGCTTAGGATCTGTCTGGCCCTGTAGTTCTACTAGACTAGATAGCTAAATAAAATCACTTTAAGTTCTACTAGACTAGATAGCTAAATAAAATCACTTTAAGTTCTACTAGACTAGATAGCTAAATAAAATCACTTTAAGTTCTACTAGACTAGATAGCTAAATAAAATCACTTTAAGTTCTACTAGACTAGATAGCTAAATAAAATCACTTTAAGTTCTACTAGACTAGATAGCTAAATAAAATCTTCATGTATGCATTTTTTAATGGGTATCAATTTTTCATATCCTTTGTTTATAGTGTGGTGATCGCGATCGATTTTTAGTCTAGTGATCGATTTTTAGGCTAATCTCGATTGATTGATTTTTAAATTATTGATCGCGATCGAACACTCTTATCTGGATTTGATCGATTGATTGCTTTTGTTCAGATCTGTAAGTTTTAGTCCCTATGCATATATTAACATCATCAAACTGACTCTATTTCTGACTCGTTCATGGTGATCTTTGCGTTTGTGCTTTGTATGCAATTCTAGGGTTAGCCTGTTAAGGCTAATCTCTATTGCGTTTGTGTACAGAGTCACAGAACCACCACCACAACCATATTGTGTCAATCTTTGCAGCAGCAATGTCTCTCTTCCTCACAATGGGTTTTGTGCACTACAGACACCTGATTTCCACTCTGGTGAGTCTTCTTTGATTCCCTTCTTCCTTACCTTGCTTATGATCTATCTGGCCCTGTCGTTTGTGCATTTGGGTTTTTCTACTACTTTCCATAAATTGGTTTCCACTATTTCTTGTGTTCAATTATTCTTTTGCAAACATGGATTGATGCAAACCCTTTTTTCTTTTGTGGTTTGTTCTATTAGTTGTCCAATGGTATTATCTAATTATAAATTATCTCTATGCATCTAAAAGTCCTTCTCCTCTCCCTGTATTATTTGACCACAGAAAATATAGTCACTCACACATTGATCTTGCAGCCTGTGGATTACGAGCCTCCATTCTTCAAAAGCTACTGAGAACAAGAAGCTCATAATCCATGGACAAAAAATCCTCTGAAAATGGAGGTTGGAAATGTCAACAGCAAGCATTTTGTATTAGCTCTCAAGGTAAAAGTAGAATATTGTAGGAACACTTGGTCCCTTGTTTGAAAATTTTAAGTTAATGTTTGCAACTGGGAATTTGTGCAGGTTAAGAGTGTGCTCGATCCTTGTGAGGATGAAAATGATGACATTCAAGATGATGATGTGAGCTTGGGGGCTGATTTTGTACAAAGAGAGTGTTCTGAATCCGACGATGAGGTGATGAGTTAACGTTACATTTGTTTTTGGTTCTCAATGAGTTAAAATACATGTTATAAACTTCATTTACCATACAGCAGAAATGCTTAATAAACCTATTGTCAAAATTTGTAACTCATTTCAGGTTGGCCTTTCGGAAGATGACCAATACATAGTTGCACCAATAGGTAATTATGGTTGGAGGCTTTGATTGAAGGTAAATGACGGTCTGACACATGTTGAAACTTGTAAACGAAGGCATCCAATCCTGCACGGTTGAACATTTTAAGCTGTAGAATAAATTTATAATTTCATTTTTTAACTGGTTTTCAGAAATTATGGACAAAGCTAGTTAAGGAAGGTAGTCTATCTAAGGACGGAACAAACAGTTACACCATTAACAAGCAAAAGGTAATTCATTTCTTTTCATTCAGTTTGAATTTTGTGTCTTTGTGTTGTTGTAGTCTCAAGTGTTTTTTATTTTTTATTTCGGTAACAAAACCAAAATTGTAGAAATTCGACTATGATTTCAATCCTATAAAGGAAAATTGAAAATGGAAAATGGATTGATTGATTGAAGTTATTTTGATGGAAAATGGATCTAGAAAATCGGTGAGTTTCTTGCATTTCAAGTTGATGACGTTAAGAGTTTTAGAGAGAGAGAGAGAGAGAGAGAGAGAGAGGGATATAGAGATGACTCTTTCTTCTTGATTCCCATTAGGGCTTTGGCGATGCATTAATTGAAGCCTCGAGCATCATCGCTTTTACATTTATTGGTAATTATTCCCAGAATATTTAAAAATAATAATTTATTTTCTATATTTTTAGTGTTGTGTTTAGGTTTACAATCAGTGTTTTGAAGGAGTTTTTAGAGGGGGGGAAAAATGATAAATCTAGTTGTAGTGATAGACAAATTTTCTTCTAAAAAACTTTATGGAAAGCAGTGGCATTTTATTTCAGAATTTCGTTGTTTGTGCGATTTGTTGTATAATAATTTGTTGATGGAATCTCAATTAAATTCCACTCTAGTTTTCCTGTTTCATGTTCATGCTTCTTGGTGCACATTGCACATGCCTTTTCCTTAAGAAAATTTTTGTTGTACCTCCTTTTGTTAAGCTTGATCTAGATCTAAAGAAATTAGTTTTTATTTTTTTTTATTTCCAGTTTTTTTTTTTTTTTGAAATTGTTTAGTCAAGCTGATTTTTGTATTGATGCTTTCAATAAATGATGGCATCAAATGATGTTTTTCAATCCTTGTTATGGAAATGATGAGCTTGATCTTCTTTTTGCTTTTCACCAAATATAGGCCTTGGATGAGTGCAGTGAGAACCTCAAGAAATATTTCAGACGTTTGATAATATTATATGGACCTAAAGATTTTGATGTTTACAAGTGAAGAGAACTAATTAGAAAATGAATTTCCATAAGTCTTTCCCCCTGTTTGTTTGTTATTAAAATCCCGTGCCCCACTTTTTCCTTTCGTAGCTATTTTCATTAGCATGAACTGAACTCCTCCCAAACCTTCCAAATTATAGGGAAAAAAAGAAAAAGAAAAACTGAAGTATGCTATATTATTCTGTTTCTAATAAATAATTGATCACATTATTGTTGTGTACCTTTGTTTATGTCTATGATTATATCCCAAGCACTGTTGGTTGGTCATGTCATGTGATTGTATTTTGCATGAGTGTTTCTACCTGAAGGGAGGTTTCTCCATCATTTAGAATATTTTCACTAGATAATGCTTCTCTTGCTCTGTTGCTTGCTTATGTGGATGTGGCTCGGACAATTCACCATATATCTCTATATTATGCCTTGGGCACAAGTATATTTATATTCCACTGATTTTGGTCTGAACTTTTGAACATATTTAAGGGTTTAGAAAATGTGGTATGGACATATCATTTCATGATCCTTTTGGCTATTATGGAGTTTCAGTGTTTCATTTGTCTTTGGAATTTCAGGATGGTACAGTGAAGAACCTAGTGACGAAGTTACACTGCTAAAGCTAAGCTTGATTTGGTGACACAAGCAAAATCCAAATTTGTTTTGGAGAATAGCAAGGTTCATATATTAAATTCTGATTTTTATAGCTTGAGTGGATGTACATAGATACTAAGGGTAGAGTTTTTTTTGTCATTATTATTACTGTTTATTTTTTTACTGACCTTTAAGTGTTTTGTATTGCCTGAAGAGTTAATGTTGCTATTCAGAGAGAACTTCACAAACCCGAGTCTGATCGCTCTTGCATACATCTAGAGTTCGATATATTTTTTCTTTTTATTTTTTGATTGTGTTTGTTGTTTGATTTTGGTTTAGAAATAATCATGTAATGTTTATTTAGTCAATATATTGAAATAGCTGTAAAATTTTATTCATATTATTGTTATTTTTTAGCTTTATTACAGGTATGTTTTTTTAGTTAAATATAACAGATTTAACACAATTTCAAAAAAAACTTCCTTTCTTATGCTTCTTCTTACATGTTGCTTGTCTTTTTTTTTTTTTTTTTTTGTATATATATTTTTCCTTTTCTTAAATAAATAAATAAAAAAACTGCTTTGTTTTTCTTCTTTTCCTTGTCCTTGGTAGGTTTATTTGATTGTTTTTGAGTTTGGTAGACAGATCTAATTAATTTTGCCTTTGACCAAAGTTGCCATAAGCAATTTGTTAATAATACTCATCTTTATTTGTTTTGATCATTCTCTATTTTTTTTCCCTTTTATTTTTAGGTATAATTATGGTTTTATAGGTTTTTCAAATTTGTTGATTTTGAGCTTATGTTGTTTGTGATTGATTTTTGTTTGATTACTCATGAGTTGGGTTCATAACGGTCTGGTTTGTAAGTGCAAGGATTTCAAATGTACCATGTTCCTTCTGTTACTTAGAGCAGGAAGGAGCAGGAAGGTTGCTACTTGTTAATGTATATATGGTATATATTCCTACATATATTAGGTATTGTCATTGTTAGGCCTCTTATAGGATACTCTTTCTCATAGTTAGATTTTTAATTGGATATTCTTTCTCAGCTTATATATACAGGATTGTATATGACAATATTATTCAATACAATTCATTCAATACAATACATATTATTTTCTTTCTCTCTCTACTATTCTAACATTACTTATTGTTACTAGGTGACCCATATGATATGAATTAAATTATTTAGAAAAATAAAAAAATCATGTAATTCAAATATGCCCTTACAATGGGGGCGGGTGGATTTGACTGTTATTGTGAATTGTTTTTGTAGTGGTTCTCCATCTCTATGCCCCTTTATTTGTTTCACATCTTCTTTGTTGTGTTCCTTCCAACGTATTAAACATCATGATGTTTGCATTGACAAGGTTTTTTTTTTGGTCGAGAATGGGATACAACTTTATCTCTTCCTTTTACCTACAGCATAGATACATTTTGTTGTTTTGGCTAAGCTTTTATTTGTAACTCTTAGGTAGTATTTGGTTCACTGAAATTGAGTGAATGGAATTCCATCAAAATGTTCATTCAAGTAGCATCTCTTCTGGCTTGAATCGATTGTTTTTGTTTCTTGGATTTCTCTCTTACTCAATAATGATGAGAATCCATGATCGTAATGAATCAATTTCATTCCGCACATTGCTCACTAATTCTTCCACCTCTTCCACTTATTCTTCTTCATATCTTGATATAGAGGTTAATTTGCCTATACATATGTATTTTTAATTTCGCCTAATGCGTTTGTCTTTGTCTAGCATATAAAATAGGGAAACAAATACGATATGCTATTTAAAATTTGATATTCCCAAAGTTTTTAGCTTTTGCCCATGTTTATCAAAGTTGCTTTTTCTCAACATTGAGTCTTAAAATTGATTTTTTTTTTTAAGGGGCAAATTACACTAATGGCCCCTATAGTGTGGAGGGTGTGTTTACTTTGGATTATTTGGAAAAATCCCAACAAAATGATTTTTGAAAATTAACAGATTAGTATTGAAGAAAGTGTTAGAACTATTCTTGATTACTCCAAAGAAATCTCTCAGGCTTTTAAATTAGATGTTACTACTCCATTACAATCTAAAGGCTTACCAATGTGGTCTTGTCCACCTGCAAGTAAAATTAAGCTCAATACAAATGCAAGCACCCAAGGCAAGGATGACAATGGAGGATATGGAGGGCTATTCCGAGATGAGAAAGGATCATGGATAAGTGGATACTATGGCAGATTGGAGAGGTGTGCTAGCTTAGAAGCTGAGCTATGGGTAGTTTACAAAGGACTCACAATAATCCTTCAAAGAGGCATGAACCCAGTGATCATTGAAACTGATGCGGAGCAAGTGGTACAGCTTCTAACTGAAGACTTGGAGAGAAATGCCCATTTAGGGGGATTGTGGAAGACTCAAGGATCATCTTGAGAGGATGTGATTGCTCAGTCCAACATGTTCGAAGGGGAGGAAACATATGTGCAGATGCTCTCACAAAATTAGGCGCAAATCAACTTGTTGAACTTCTTGTTGTAAATGATCCGCCAGAGGAAATCCGCAGCGCTTTAGTTGCAGATATTGTCCACCTGGCTGGAGGAGATAGGGCTTATTCCCTTTGTTTTGTTACTTTCCGATGTACCACAAAAAAAATAAATAAATAAATAAAAAAAATTAAAAAAATCAATGTCCCCTGCTACAACTAGAAGAAGGATATTTATTTATTTATTTATCAATCAGCTACACAACTAAAAGGGGGATATTCAGTGTTGAAGCCCCTGTTTGGTACATGGCCACACTCAGCTACGTGTATATTCCTTGTTATTGTCGTAAACAACATCCTACACAAAGCTCTGCGATAGTGGAGTATTGGGTGCATAAAAGACCTGAAAGAAAAGCCACTCTATGATCAAACAAAACAGCCAGTTGGGAAGTACCAAAAAACAAGTCTGGACCATTCCATTTATAGTTTTATGCACACCTCACATCTTTCAAAAACACTTTCCCAATGAATACCGTAGATAGAAAAATGAGAGAGAACAAGGGAGAAGGGAAAGGAGAGAGCATAATCAGCACTTGTAATAATCAATCTATAAAGATTCTGCATGCGGAGCAGAATGAGTAGAAAATAACTGAAGCACTCCCACCTCACATATTATCTTAAAATATTTACAATCTCTTCCATTTATACATAAACATTCACAATAGTAAAATTATGTAAACAGAGAACAGATTAGTTAGACCACAGACATACATAACATAGAAACCACCTTTGGAGAGGGAAGACAATTAGTTGGAGCAACTTTTGCATTTCTATTCCAAAGTCAAAATGTGCAACACAAGAATCCAATACAACTCATTATTGTGAACAATGTCAAGAACATACCAGAAGAACCGACACTAACGCTAGGTATAGATTTTTGTTACTTCAATACAGACATATTGGTTGATTGTAAAAAGGTACTCACTCAACTAATTCCAAAATTGAAAAACAATTAGGATATACTGATGCTATGCAGAACGCATTCGACTCCATGCCTTCAATATAATAGCATATGATGCTACTAGAAAGAAGTCCAGAGAGATGCCAAGCATCCACACCACCAAGAAGCCTGGAAGATTGCCAAAGGTGAAGTTTGGCAACTTCTCATTCAATGTAAAACAAAAGGTGGCGTAGAATCCAACGGCAGTAACCAGCAAAAGCGCCCGAAAATAAAATTCCTATCCCCTAATCATTTTCCAGAGTGGCACAACTGCCATAAGAAAATCGGACGAGAATGCAATGTGGGATATCATCACCCCATGTGAGGGGTGATCCTCCATGTGTTGCAAGGTTGGCCATGTTAGGAAGCCAACACACATGAGCTGGTCATGTGAAGCCAACACACAAGATAGCTGGCCATATGCAAGGCCAGCCTCTCCATCTCCATTCTGTTAGTGTATAAATGGAAGCTGAGGGGAGGGTTTGAGAGAGAGAGCAGAGCAAGCCACAGTGAGTGAGATATGTGAGGCGGAGAGACCGTCTCCCTCGGTGTGAGCGAGGGAGACGGGTGAGTGTGTGAGTGAGGAGAGTGTGAGCTCCTCCTCTATTGTAATCTTTCTGTAATATTTCCATTGTTATAGTGATAACCGGCTACTCTCCCGTGGACGTAGGCATTGAGGCCGAACCACGTTAAATATTGTGTCTCCTTAAGTGTGGGTGTGTTTTTCTGCATTAAATAATTTCTATAAGGTCTTGGGCGGGATCCCAGATCCCAACATGCAAATGAGATTGATATGAGAGCCAGGAAATGAGATGGCCACATGTGGCTGTCCAATATATCTCCAACTCTCATCTTCAGCTTTGCACTTCCAGGATTAGGCAGGGCACAAAGAGGTGAAAACATAGCAGCTGAGGCTACAGCACCGAATCCCACGAACCCAACTTTTTTTGAGATGAGGCTTGTTCTGTCTGCATTCGTATCATTCTCTTGATTGGCGCCTACTATCTCCATAGGTTGTGTCCGATTATTTTCGGGCTGAATCTGAACCACATTTAATTATATTAGATGAGAATCAACCTTTAACATTATGTTAAGCTGCAATATTGTTTTTTATTCTTATGTCATTAATGAGGTTGATTAAAATTCATAAGCTCAAAGGATATTTTTCCAAAGAAACAATATTAAAAGTGAAACAACCAATATCTTATTTTTAGTTGTTTCACTTTCAATATTGTTTCTTATTTTTAGTGCCAAAATGTTTAATTCGAATATTAAAAGAAAAAGTCACAAAAAAAAAACAAAAAAATACATGCCTTTAGTGTTATTTTTAAAATGTCGCTACGGGGTAGTATGGGATCTGTAGTAGGCTTGAAAATCACACCCCTTTGATCGAGTATGCTACCAATCCATTTTGACCTCTTATTCTAGTCTGTGTTTAAGACCTCTTAAACATATCCATAGGTCAACTTTCCAACCCGAGGGATGACCCTCGGATCTTCCTATTGATCAGAAGCATCCAGCAGCTCCATGCCAGTAGAAAGAGTTAAACTACGAAGCTAAGCTGCTGTTGGGAAACTTGGTAAAAGCGGTTTGCCACTTCTGCCTCTCTAGGCTTCACAAAATACACAAGGCAATTTTGTGTCAAAATGTTGTTGGACTGGATTCACACCTATCTAAATGTGCATTCTGTTTAGGAACTTTGATTTTTAGTTAAAAAATTATTACAAATTATCATATCACGTTACTTTTATCTTCTTTTTTTTTTTTTTTTTTTTATGTATCATTTCATAAAAATATAAAAAATTAATTAAAATAATCTATTTCTAAATGAGATTTCACGTCCTTCCACTAACCAGTGAAAGAGGGGAAAAAAAAATAAAAAATTTGCTGGTGGACTAGAAACTAAATTATGTACA